TCCTCGGGCTAACAAATATGGCTTTCCCAGAGGGTCCAAGTATCCTCTGAGATGTGAGGCGTCAAATCACAAGTCTTGGGTTCAGTTTAAATTGCATAAGAGGCTCTATAGCCTCTTAGGTTGTAGCCTGCTTACAGCAAGGTTAACTCCACTCAGGGGTACCATAAGTTATAACCCGGGTTACAAGAGGCTGTATTGTACTCAGTCAGAGAGCGTTAGTCAATTACGAAGTGAACCAGATACTTGGACCTCAGGAAAGAGCGCACATGTAGGGGCGGGGGTGCCCACTGCATGAGCCCTGTTTGCAGGAAAAACGCGTGGTGCCCGAAAATAGCGGAAACCTCCTAAATGCCGGAAGTTGGTGTTCCGAAACAAGGAAAACATAATCACTTCACCCAAGAATTGAGTATCTCCTAAGGACGTACTTGAAGGCCAAAAAGGGATCATCTGGACCATGCTCACATCAAGGGATCCGTAGGAAAAGAACCCGTCCGTTTTTGGATCTGCTAAGCCACACTGAAAAAAGCAAAACAAAACACTTCCTCCGTCTTTTGGGGCCAAACGACAAGGCGGCCGCTCCGGGTCCGCTTCGCCCTCGTGCTTTTTCGGTCGCCTGCGGGTGGTTGGACATGGCCATCACTGCATAGATGTTCAGCAGCCATGCCACGAAGGAGACCCAAAAGGAGGATATCAAAAGCTTTCCTCGCCACTCTGCGGCGGCCATGCGCGTGGGAAACCCTTTTCAGCGGACTCAGCGGTTGATCTAGGGAAAAATCAGGCCAACTATGACCTGAGTTGGGAAGTATTTGAACTTGGGGAGGGGGCCGGTAGGAACCCTGATTCAGGTTCTGATTTTGGATTATCCTAGGGTTGACTTGAACCCAAGTTTCCCTAGAAGGGAAATCAACCACCCCCGGGTTTGAGTCTGCCTTGGGGCAATCCCCAAATGGATTCTTGCCACCCAGAATTCGCCAAAGTACCTCTAGCAAACTGGTCGTTTCCAGAAAAATGCTGTTTCCACTAGGCTTCCCTTTGTAACAACCTTTTGCGCAAAATGAACGAGACTCCTGGGTTGACATGGGACGCGAAGATCCTCCCGAAATGACCACGAACTTGTCGACTCCCCTTTTCCCCTCCCCTTGGACGCGTGCGGTTCTTCAGTTCTTATGCGCTTAGCAGCCTCAAGTTCTTATGCGGCCCTTTCCGCTATGATGTCCCTTTCACGGCACGAAATCCATCTGAAGCCTATCTCGGTTCCAGGCCCTACCCCCAAAAGCGAAAACAGGTTCCCCCCCAAACCAAAAAAAACACAACAGCCCGCCCCACCCCCTCCCCAAAAAAACCAAACAACAAACACAACAGCACCCCCCCCCCCCCCGGGGAAAAAAAAAACAAACTCACAATCAAAAAAAGACAGCCCCCCTCCCAAGCCTCGCTCCCCAAGTCTCAAGCCTGCCGTCCGAGGCGCGCCGGTTTTGGCGGCCAAACTGGGTGCCCGTAGAGCCACAGGTCCGGCAGCAGCGGTTGGTCTCCAGGCACCGGCTCAGCTTCATAAAGACCTCAGACACCATGGGCTTCCTATAGGTTTCCCACGGCCTTTCCCCCGATTTTCCTATCAGTTTCATGGGAAGAGGTCCGTTTCCCCCGTTTTCCGCGGGCTTCCTATGGGTTTCTACTGGGTGTCGGACCCGTTTCCGATGCGTTTCCCCTGGGTGTCCTATGCTCGCTTCCCGTGGGGCTTCCGATGGGTTTCCCCCAAGGGAAGAGGCCAACCACTTGGCCTCTCATGTGCAGGACAATATACTTACCCCTTAAAACTCCAAGCCCTGGGGAAGTTAATCTTTTACAGACATATAGCCCATGTTACCCAAAAAGTTGAAAAGTTGTGCTTTTAAGAGGTAAGTATATAGATAGGATGTTTTGGACAATCCTTGTCTCAACATGTTGACCAAACCCATGTCATGCTGAGGAAGGAACCCCGGCCGCAGGCAGTGTGTACTCGTTAGAGAAGTGCTTCAGCCAGGACTCCTGCGCGGAAAAACAAACCTTTCCAATCCCCCCAACCGGCGCTATGTAGGTCCGGAACAAACGAGCACACCACCCCTTTCGTTCTCTTTTTTGTGGCAGCAAACGTAGCAATCATCTATCCAAAAGGCTTCCCGAAAGCCCGAACATCAACTCGGTCGTTGGAACAGATGTCTTGTCGAGCCTTGAATCTCTACCAAGATCGGAGTTTCCAGCAAACAAGCGGGAAACCAGCAGGTTGCAGTAACCATGCAAGAACCCAAACGCCCAGAAACAAGCGTCAGGCTGCAGTAGTCAAAGAACCCCGCACAAAGTCAATCAGAAACATGTGTGTCATTATTTGTTCAATGAAATAAGTTGGACATAGTCTGTTCTATCTTAGATAAGGCTAGTTAGAAGATTGGATTTTGTTGCTTCAAGTGTTGTATTTCATGTACCAACCCACTTGGCCAAGGGCATTGGACCTGCAAGGCACCCACAATAAGGACCAACCACCCCAGCTCCGTCGATTCCGTTGGTCCTCCGGGCTTTTGGTGGGCGCGCAAAACCCCCCGCAGACCGGGATGTTAAATATACCTGAGCAGAGTTTTTGTTGGGAAGGTAATGCTGATGACGCATCAGGCGCCTACGCCGGCGCCTACGCCATGTGCAAATACCATGCGGAATGGCCTGCGCTAGTCTGGGTCCTCCAGTAGAGAGGTTAGAATAAGGGTACCCTTTTTTGTGTAGTCTATTTTAGTCGGGGAACCCCCTCAACCAAAAAGGGGTGAGAAAGAGCGCGACTCGGCTACTGGGGGACCTAGTAATCCAAGAAACCTTCCAAAAGCGGCCCGAGAAACGGATGCGGCATTTGCCTCGCTGGGAAACTTGGACTCTGGGCTCAAGAACGAAGTACTTGTTTTGTCTTGGGAGTCCTTTCCACGGAAAATATTCACCGCAACATGAGCAATGGCTTTGGGATCAAACTGAGTGCGATTTTACGTCTTTGGCGTGTGGGTTTGGCATGCAAACCGTCCCTTTCCAAGGAACCCTTTTGATTTCCCTAGGGTTGCAACTCAAACAAATCACACACAAAGGCCGGTCTTGGCGCCCCGCCAAAACAAACCGAGAGTGTCGATATCACATGTCAGCTTGGCCAAACAAATCCGCTGCAATGGACTTGTTGCTTCGCAGGAAAGCTGAAGGAAACCCTTCATAGGGCCCTGAAAAGAGGGGATAGAACCCGTGACAAACAGTTCCAACAAGTTGCCACGGTTTGTGAACTAAGTCTTGCCGATCGCTACGTTCGGTGCCATCTTTTTCCTCGACACAGGGGTTCCCAAGACCAAGTGGGCTCAGAGGGAAGCCTCCAAACAGTCCAACAGGTGTCCTGTTAGCTTCGCTTTAACCCCAAGAGAAGACACACAGCTCTAGGAGTTCATTCGAAGGCCTAAAAAAGACACAAAACAAGAGGAACCCCAGTATTTTTGGGGGTCTCCTCACAAAATAGCCCACACAGCTCTAGGGGTGGATTCCTTTTCCATTCTTTTCAACCATCGTTCTTTTCAAAAACCGGATCTGTTTCCCCTGATTTTTTTAGGTTTCCTGAAAAGAAGGATCCCTGGAAGAATGGGAAGGTACCCCTGGAACCCTCAAAAAAGACACACCCAAATATCAAAAAAAGGCCGGCGGCCTTTCCATGGTTTGGGAAGGGACATCAATTTCCTTGATGTCCAATGGTCCCCAATGAACACTCGCGTTCTCATTTACCTGAACTCACCTGGACCAGCCCAAAAACACCGAACCCCAGAAAATCAAACAATGCTTACTCCGGGCCCAGGGATTTGGCTCTATCATGTTCAACTGAATGGCACCGGCGCGTCACCCCTAAATCCGCCTTTCTGAAAGGCTTTCCTTGCTTAAATCGCCGCAAAAAAAAGGTTGGTCGGGTGAAAACACGGTCACAGGTGTGCCTTTTTTTGAGGGGGGCCCCCAACATGGTGGGTTTTCCTTTGGGGTGTCCCTCCACAAAAACACAAAACAACAGGGGTCAATTTAAACAAGAGACGCAGCCATATGAAGGGCCTCCCAACCAAGATGCATCTCAAAAGCCCGAGGGATCTCACGATCGCCTCCATGATGCTCAAATAGGAGCGAATCGGATCTGCCTACACGGATTTGATGGAGCGCACCTTCCGGCTCAAATTGCGCAGGCCCTCCGTGTGCCGTTTTTGCTTTTGTTGGGCTGCGCTTCTGCAAAGCAATCAGACTAGCCCGAAATGCGCAAGGCGAAACAAAAAGAGAAGTTCCATGTGCAAAATGCCACATACTGCACTGGAGCCTGCCGGCGGCTGCGCGGAAACAGCTGCCTCCGTCAAGTGGGTCCGTATGGGTCTGCTTGGATCTGCGTTGCCGAGATAGCAAGTGCTGGGCTTTTAACAACTAACTGGACTTCTAGGTGGGCTTTAACCCAGAAATCACCAGAAATTACCAGCTTGGCCAAACAGAGGGGGCACCGTTTTGGATCGGTTTCCCGAGCAGAGAACATGACCTCAACCATCTGGCAGGCTGCGCCGCGCCCTTGAAGACCTTTTTGCGGTCAGAAAGGCCAAAAAAAAAAACGCCAGGGAGGGTTCCCGGTTTGTCACGACAAGCTACGCGGAATGGCTTCATGGGGCGGGGGCAGCTATGGGGGGTTCTGGACAAAATGATCAAATACTCTAGGGGTACCTTCCCCATTCTTTCCAGGGATCCTTCTTTTCAGGAAACCATCAAAAACCCAGGGGAAACAGATCCGGTGTTTGAAAAGAACGATGGTTGAAAAGAATGGAAAAGGAATCCGTGTGGGCTATTTTGTGTGGAGACCCCCCCCGAAAACAAACCGGGGTTTCCTCTTGGTTTGTGTCTTTTTTAGGCCTTCGAATCAACCCCTAGAAATACCAATCCTGTTTTGCTTGGACTTGGAATGAGCAAGTTGACTCCAGCTCCCGACTCACCTCCTCCAACATCCGGGTCTTCTCCTCCGAGAGCTGAGCCTCTGCGCGCAAAAGCGCCTCGTGCGCGCGTGCGCGCGAGCAAAGGCCGTGAGCAAGGGAATCCCACTGGTTGAACTTCCCAAAGGCTGTGAATATTGGAACTGCTTACATTTTGAGCATACAATCGCCTATTTTGCTCACATCGGTTTATGAGTCTCAGCTGTACACGCAAGCTGTTCAATCATGTTTTTGGAAATGGGTACGGGTCATAATTTATGCCTCCATTTTTGGGCGGATGAACACCCATGTACCACCTATTTTGGTGTTCACCAGGGGTACAGGGTTTTGACCCACAGCCAAATCAATTGGGCAACAACTTCGAACTTTCGAGGAAGCCTGCAGAGAAAGGGTTCCAAAAACAGGTTTGGAGGACGCGAGAGAAAGGGAGCCCAAACTTGTTGGGCAGCCGTTCAAGCCTTCCCGGGGTTCCATGACAAAGTCTCAACGTTTGGGAATTCGAGGAGTAATGTGTTGCAATCCCACCACAAGTATCGAGCGGACCTGCTTTCCTCTGACTCGAGAGACATGGGCTCAAATCATCCTTTGGGACCTGAATGAAACATGGCCCGATATTGGGAAGAGAAAAGATTGCCAGGTCAATTTGCCGATGGAGGTTTTTCAAAAATATCACCAGAGAACCCCCCCCCCCCGTTCCGTTTTCTCAAGTACACGTTCCAGCCACATTGACGAATATTCTGGACTTCTCTTGTTCCCAGGGCAACCGCGGCTGCAGGGCAAAAAAGCTCAGTGACACAAAGAACCGTCGCCACTGGGCCCATCGTATCCCGTTTTTGTTCATTTGAGGTTGCTTGCTTGGCGTATCGGAGACATCGATGACATACTATACATCACTACAGCCGCCCCACAAATACCCCACGCCAAAGCACGCAACTATGAGCCGCGTGACACCCGAAAAACAAAGCAAAACACGTGGCAAAGCTCGAACACATGAGGCACGCTCGCAGTGTCGGCCTGAGCTGGCTCTCAAGCCTATGATTCTTTCTAAAGGTACCCTGCCCTGCGTGTTCAATCCCACCTTCCCTATCGCACCAGCAAGTAAAACGGCTTCCCATTTGAAGCCTGGAGGAAGAGGGCCGAAATTGCGCGGTAGCATGCGGTGCCGGCGTTTGGGGGACGCCTGCGTGTTCAGCTTCTCTTCCATGTCTCGTTGGAGCCTTTGACTCTCCTACGGGGTTACCCACTCGGATTCACGCTTTGGGACTCACACGCTGGAAACCTTGGTTATCAACACCCTAACTTTCTCAAAAACATAAGTACAGTCCCCCAAGAGATTCTCTGAAGGGGGGTCTGTGGTGTCCCTGCTGTGGGTCCTAGTGTCCCTCCCCCAAACTGCCTTCAGGGAAAGCCAAGGAAATCCTTGCAAAAGACAGACCCTGGCAAACCGCCAATGTGCGTTTCTGCCACTGAAAATTGCGAGCCAGGCAGGGATGAGACCTTTATCATGTTCCCCTTCCTCCAAATCACGTGCATCAGCTCACAGGAACCAAGGCAGATGGTTCATTTAAGGTGGGTGGTTCCTCTCGCCAAAAGGTTACGAACGGATTGAGCCCTCCCGCATCCAATGTCAACTTCCAAGTTCACCACTGCCAGGCTGCTTCCAGAAACAAGGTTTCAGGTTCCCTACATTCAAACCCAAATGGACCATGCTGAAACGAATTTCCGGCGGTGCGTGAAGCGCACAGGTCAGAAACTCTGGGACATGAAGCATGACCCAACTGGAAGGAAAGCCGCAGGTGCCCTCAATTTCATTTCATCGGTCGTTCCCCACCACAAGAGACGGCAGCACTGGAATAGGCTTGGTAGGGATGCTCAGGCAGCGAGCCTATTTGGCTGGCATGTGCGCAATGCTGAGCGGGTGTTCTACCATTAATCAAAGTTGCTGAATCGGGGACCCAAGTTTGCGAATTGGGGCGCCAAGTTTCTGAATTGAGACCTCAAGTTTCTGAATCGGGGCAAGTTTCTGAATCGAAGTATCTGAATCCGATAATGTTCCGCCACCCAAAGGGTGTATGTGTGTGTGTGTGTTTTTCTTTGGAGGGTATTTCTGAAACCGAGGTGGGTTTAAAGGGACACAGAAGGGCACCATTGTTATGGAGCCCCTGAAACTTCGACACATACCCAAACCAGACTCATGGGGTGTAGAAACTTCCAGGGTGCGCCTCTTGAAATTCCCCACCAATCCGTCCTCCAGGGAAGCAGACAGCCGGGACACCTCCTCAGAAGACGAAGATGTCTTGGCTCTTTCCTGCCCGTACTCATACAGAAAACCGCGCTGCTTCCCAACATACCTCGTTCCATCCGAAAATATGCTGCGCAACTACAACTCTCATGGCTTCTATGTCTCTGCTTGCCAACATGCACAGCCAATCCCAGCTTGCAGAAGCAGCCTGCTCCAGCTCCTGGACTCTCTCTTCCAAGTGCTTCTCCTGCACGCCAAGCACATGGGGGTTGATCAATATTCTTGGTTCTTTAAAGCCCCCTAAAATTTAAGTGACTATGATTTTTCCCCATTGCGCGGGACATATAATATGTTAATCGGTTTTGCCCCATGGTCATTCCATGTAAAGGACCTTTTGATCAACCCCCCAAATGGATACATTGCGAAGCATGGGTGCATCTGGGCCAGACGCCAAGGAGCTCAAAATGGGGCTCAAACAGCGCTGGCTGCCTGCCTGTGTCCTTAGCTTCTCCTCCAAGTCGCGATGAAGCGCTCGGCTCTCCTGCAGCACCATGGGTCGTGGGAATTGGCTACAAGAAGGCAGTCGCAATGACAAGCTATTTGCTTCAGGGGGAGTTTCCTGGTACGGCAGTGGGCGCAAGTCCAAACTCCTTCCTAGAACCTAAGAAACGAGGCTTGCATTCCATCCATCGCAAGCGCCCTCGACAGTGCATGACGTCTTTGCGCCACGCCAATGCAACTCTCCAAGCCTCGAGCCCCTAGCATGAACCAAGGTAACCAGCAAAGTCGTGTCTTTTTATGGGGGACAATACCAAAATGGTGGCTTTTCCTTTGCTTTCCCTTTAAAGCCGCCCGAAAAAGGCACCCGCGACAACACACACCCAAATTAACAACTCCCCGCCTCCAGCAAAGCAGTAACGCGGGAAACCTCCTCGGAAGTCGAGGATGTCTTGGCTCTTTCCTGCCGCAAGCAATGCAGAACCCAAAGCTCACTGCCTCTCAGCGTCAGAATAAGGGTACCCTTTTTTCTGCAGTCTATTTTAGTAGGGGAACCCTCCCCAAAAAAGGGCGATCAAAGGGCAGTGGGGAACCTAGGGTCCATGTGAAATCCGCTCCGCGATCCAAACCTCTGGGTTTTGTGATCCAAACCTCATGGTTTCGCTCTGGATCAAATGCTGCCTGCTCCAGCTCCTGGATTTTCCCCTCCGAGTGCTTCTCCTAGCACATGGGGGTAATCCTGGACTCCAAATGACCATGGGTACCTTCTCCCATTCCGTGGGTTTTTATTCCAAAATTCTCGGCGGTCTATGGACATGTTCGAAGGTTGGAGAGTCTGGGAACAAAACAACCAAGGCGCTCAGGAAAAAAAGGAATGCAACAGCACACTTCAATGAGACGTACAACACCCTGGCGAGGTGACCCCAAGGCGCTCAAAATGGCAATGGAATCAACAGCGCACTTCAACCACATGACCAGCACAACATGCTTGATTGCGTTCAAACGGCCACGAAAACACCCGGGAAAAACACAAACATGGCACACCGCCAAACAAGCAAAGGCTCAAAGTAAGTCCGACGAACTGCCCACACTGCCGGCCTGACTCCTCAGCTTCTCCTCCAAGTCCCGATGAAGCGCTCGGCTCTCCTGCAGGCAGTAGCATGATCATGGGTCGCGGGGCTCAGGCACTATGATTCATGGCCTATTTGGCCTAAGGGGGAGGTCGCCTTGCATGGCAGTGGGCACAAAATCCCGTCTCATTCCCACAAACTGATCAAAACATGAGGCCAGCATCCCATCCATCGCCACTATTTTAGGGCGCAGCGACCAAGCGCCCTCAAGCCCCAGCCCAGAGTCTGTGGGACCCACATGCAGCACATTGACAAACTCCCTGGCCTCCAGAAAAGCAGTCAGCCGCGAAACCTCTTCGGAAGTCGAGGATGTCTTGGCTCTTTCCTGCCGCAAGAATGCAAACCCCACTGCTTTTCAACAGACTCCGCCCACAAATCTGTTGAGCACTTCCAACTCTCATGGTTTCTGCGCATACAATTCCAGCTCGGCCGAATCGAATGCTGCCTGCTCCAGCTCTTGGACTTTCTCTTCCGAGTGCTTCTCCTTTGAGCAAAGCAACATGAATACGTACTCTCAAGCCGGCCGCCTATGATTACATGGGTACACACACACACCCACACATGTTCACAGGGTGGCGATTCTGCAAATTAAAGCACAAAGGCGCTCGGAATGGCAATGGAATGCAACAGCACACTTCAATGAGAGGTACAACATGCCTTGACTACTCTCAAACCGAAAGGAAAACACGGGAAACGCGCACATGCCAGCACACCGTCAAACAAATAAATACCAAACATGCAGCCCTAGTTGCACTAGCTCACTGCCGGCCTGACTCCTCAGCTTCTCCTCCAAGTCCCGATGAAGCGCTCGGCACTCCTGCAGGCAGTAGCACGATCATGGGTCGCGGGGCTCAAGCACTATGATTCATGGCCTATTTGGCCTAAGGGGGAGTTTGCCTTGCATGACAGTGGGCACAAATCCCGTCTCATTCCCGCAAACTGATCACAACACGAGGCCCGCGTCCCATTTTTGGGGCGCAGCGACCAAGCGCCCTCAAGCCCCAGCCCAGCAAACCTATGAGCAAAGCACTGAGTCTGTGGGACCCACATGCAGCACATTGACAAACTTTGACAAACTCTCTGGCCTCCAGAGAAGCAGTAAGGCGGGAAACATCTTCGGAAGTCGAGGATGTCTTGGCTCTTTCCTGCCGCAAGAAATGCAAACCCACTGCTTCCCAACAGACTCCGTCCACAAATCCGTTGAGCACTTCCAACTATCATGGTTTCTGCGCATGCAATTCCAGGTCGGCCGAATCGAATGCTGCCTGCTCCAGCTCTTGGACTTTCTCTTCCGAGTGCTTCTCCTTTGAGCAAAGCAACATGAATACGTACTCAAGCCGGCCGCCTATGATTACTATAGGCTATAGTCTATAGGTACACACACACACACCCACACTTGTTCACAGGGTGGCGATTCTGCAAATTAAAGCACCAAGGCGCTCGGAATGGCAATGGAATGCAACAGCACACTTCAATGAGACGTACAACATGCCTTGATTACTCTCAAACCGAAAGGCAAATACGGGAAACGCGCACATCTCAGCACACCGTCAAACGAATACATACCAAACACGCAGCCCTAGTTGCACGAGCTCACTGCCGGCCTGACTCCTCAGCTTCTCCTCCAAGTCCCGATGAAGCGCTCGGCTCTCCTGCAGGCAGTAGCACGATCATGGGTCGCGGGGCTCAGGCACTATGATTCATGGCCTATTTGGCCTAAGGGGGAGGTCGCCTTGCATGGCAGTGGGCACAAATCCCGTCTCATTCCCGCAAACTGATCAACACACGCCCGCGTCCCATGTTTGGGGCGCAGCGACCAAGCGCCCTCAAGCCCCAGCCCAGCAAACCTATGAGCAAAGCACCGAGTCTGTGGGACCCACATGCAGCACATTGACAAACTCCCTGGCCTCCAGAGAAGCAGTAAGGCGGGAAACCTCCTCGGAAGTCGAGGATGTCTTGGCTCTTTCCTGCCGCAAGAACTGCAAACCCCACTGCTTCCCAACAGACTCCGTCCACAAAACCGTTGAGCACTTCCAACTCTCATGGTTTCTGCGCATACAATTCCAGCTCGGCCGAATCGAATGCTGCCTGCTCCAGCTCTTGGACTTTGTCTTCCGAGTGCTTCTCCTTTGAGCAAAGCAACATGAATACGTACTCTCAAGCCGGCCGCCTATGATTACATGGGTACACACACACACCCACACATGTTCACAGGGTGGCGATTCTGCAAATTAAAGCACCAAGGCGCTCGGAATGGCAATGGAATGCAACAGCACACTTCAATGAGAGGTACAACATGCCTTGATTACTCTCAAACCGAAAGGCAAACACGGGAAACGCGCACATCCCAGCACACCGTCAAACAAATAAATACCAAACACGCAGCCCTAGTTGCACGAGCTCACTGCCGGCCTGACTCCTCAGCTTCTCCTCCAAGTCCCGATGAAGCGCTCGGCTCTCCTGCAGGCAGTAGCACGATCATGGGTCGCGGGGCTCAGTCACTATGATTCATGGCCTATTTGGCCTAAGGGGGAGGTCGCATTGCATGACAGTGGGCACAAATCCCGTCTCATTCCCGCAAACTGATCAACACACGAGGCCCGCGTCCCATTTTTGGGGCGCAGCGACCAAGCGCCCTCAAGCCCCAGCCCAGAGTCTGTGGGACCCACATGCAGCACATTGACAAACTCCCTGGCCTCCAAAAAAGCAGTCAGCCGGGAAACCTCTTCGGAAGTCGAGGATGTCTTGGCTCTTTCCTGCCGCAAGAAATGCAAACCCCACTGCTTCCCAACAGACTCCGCCCACAAATCTGTTGAGAACTTCCAACTCTCATGGTTTCTGTGCAGCAATTCCAGGTCGGCCGAATCGAATGCTGCCTGCTCCAGCTCTTGGACTTTCGCTTCCGAGTGCTTCTCCTTTGAGCAAAGCAACATGAATACGTACTTAAGCCGGCCGCCTATGGGTACACACACACACACCCACACATGTTCACAGGGTGGCGATTCTGCAAATTAAAGCACCAAGGCGCTCGGAATGGCAATGGAATGCAACAGCACACTTCAATGAGAGGTACAACATGCCTTGATTACTCTCAAACCGAAAGGAAAACACGGGAAACGCGCACATCCCAGCACACCGTGAAACAAATAAATACCAAACACGCAGCCCTAGTTGCACGAGCTCACTGCCGGCCTGACTCCTCAGCTTCTCCTCCAAGTCCCGATGAAGCGCTCGGCTCTCCTGCAGGCAGTAGCACGATCATGGGTCGCGGGGCTCAGTCACTATGATTCATGGCCTATTTGGCCTAAGGGGGAGGTCGCCTTGCATGACAGTGGGCACAAATCCCGTCTCATTCCCGCAAACTGATCAACACACGAGGCCCGCGTCCCATTTTTGGGGCGCAGCGACCAAGCGCCCTCAAGCCCCAGCCCAGCAAACCTATGAGCAAAGCACTGAGTCTGTGGGACCCACATGCAGCACATTGACAAACTCCCTGGCCTCCAGAGAAGCAGTAAGGCGGGAAACCTCCTCGGAAGTCGAGGATGTCTTGGCTCTTTCCTGCCGCAAGAACTGCAAACCCCACTGCTTCCCAACAGACTCCGTCCACAAAACCGTTGAGCACTTCCAACTCTCATGGTTTCTGCGCATACAATTCCAGCTCGGCCGAATCGAATGCTGCCTGCTCCAGCTCTTGGACTTTGTCTTCCGAGTGCTTCTCCTTTGAGCAAAGCAACATGAATACGTACTCTCAAGCCGGCCGCCTATGATTACATGGGTACACACACACACCCACACATGTTCACAGGGTGGCGATTCTGCAAATTAAAGCACCAAGGCGCTCGGAATGGCAATGGAATGCAACAGCACACTTCAATGAGAGGTACAACATGCCTTGATTACTCTCAAACCGAAAGGCAAACACGGGAAACGCGCACATCCCAGCACACCGTCAAACAAATAAATACCAAACACGCAGCCCTAGTTGCACGAGCTCACTGCCGGCCTGACTCCTCAGCTTCTCCTCCAAGTCCCGATGAAGCGCTCGGCTCTCCTGCAGGCAGTAGCACGATCATGGGTCGCGGGGCTCAGTCACTATGATTCATGGCCTATTTGGCCTAAGGGGGAGGTCGCATTGCATGACAGTGGGCACAAATCCCGTCTCATTCCCGCAAACTGATCAACACACGAGGCCCGCGTCCCATTTTTGGGGCGCAGCGACCAAGCGCCCTCAAGCCCCAGCCCAGAGTCTGTGGGACCCACATGCAGCACATTGACAAACTCCCTGGCCTCCAGAAAAGCAGTCAGCCGCGAAACCTCTTCGGAAGTCGAGGATGTCTTGGCTCTTTCCTGCCGCAAGAATGCAAACCCCACTGCTTTTCAACAGACTCCGCCCACAAATCTGTTGAGCACTTCCAACTCTCATGGTTTCTGCGCATACAATTCCAGCTCGGCCGAATCGAATGCTGCCTGCTCCAGCTCTTGGACTTTGTCTTCCGAGTGCTTCTCCTTTGAGCAAAGCAACATGAATACGTACTCTCAAGCCGGCCGCCTATGATTACATGGGTACACACACACCCACACATGTTCACAGGGTGGCGATTCTGCAAATTAAAGCACCAAGGCGCTCGGAATGGCAATGGAATGCAACAGCACACTTCAATGAGAGGTACAACATGCCTTGATTACTCTCAAACCGAAAGGAAAACACGGGAAACGCGCACATCCCAGCACACCGTGAAACAAATAAATACCAAACACGCAGCCCTAGTTGCACGAGCTCACTGCCGGCCTGACTCCTCAGCTTCTCCTCCAAGTCCCGATGAAGCGCTCGGCTCTCCTGCAGGCAGTAGCACGATCATGGGTCGCGGGGCTCAGTCACTATGATTCATGGCCTATTTGGCCTAAGGGGGAGGTCGCCTTGCATGACAGTGGGCACAAATCCCGTCTCATTTCCGCAAACTGATCAACACACGAGGCCCGCGTCCCATTTTTGGGGCGCAGCGACCAAGCGCCCTCAAGCCCCAGCCCAGCAAACCTATGAGCAAAGCACTGAGTCTGTGGGACCCACATGCAGCACATTGACAAACTCCCTGGCCTCCAAAAAAGCAGTCAGCCGGGAAACCTCTTCGGAAGTCGAGGATGTCTTGGCTCTTTCCTGCCGCAAGAAATGCAAACCCCACTGCTTCCCAACAGACTCCGCCCACAAATCTGTTGAGAACTTCCAACTCTCATGGTTTCTGTGCAGCAATTCCAGGTCGGCCGAATCGAATGCTGCCTGCTCCAGCTCTTGGACTTTCTCTTCCGAGTGCTTCTCCTTTGAGCAAAGCAACATGAATACGTACTTAAGCCGGCCGCCTATGGGTACACACACACACACCCACACATGTTCACAGGGTGGCGATTCTGCAAATTAAAGCACCAAGGCGCTCGGAATGGCAATGGAATGCAACAGCACACTTCAATGAGAGGTACAACATGCCTTGATTACTCTCAAACCGAAAGGAAAACACGGGAAACGCGCACATCCCAGCACACCGTGAAACAAATAAATACCAAACACGCAGCCCTAGTTGCACGAGCTCACTGCCGGCCTGACTCCTCAGCTTCTCCTCCAAGTCCCGATGAAGCGCTCGGCTCTCCTGCAGGCAGTAGCACGATCATGGGTCGCGGGGCTCAGGCACTATGATTCATGGCCTATTTGGCCTAAGGGGGAGGTCGCCTTGCATGACAGTGGGCACAAATCCCGTCTCATTCCCGCAAACTGATCAACACACGAGGCCCGCGTCCCATTTTTGGGGCGCAGCGACCAAGCGCCCTCAAGCCCGAGCCCAGCAAACCTATGAGCAAAGCACTGAGTCTGTGGGACCCATGACAAACTCCCTGGCCTCCAGAAAAGCAGTCAGCCGGGAAACCTCTTCGGAAGTCGAGGATGTCTTGGCTCTTTCCTGCCGCAAGAAATGCAAACCCCACTGCTTCCCAACAGACCACGTCCACAAATCCGTTGAGAACTTCCAACTCTCATGGTTTCTGCGCAGCAATTCCAGGTCGGCCGAATCGAATGCTGCCTGCTCCAGCTCTTGGACTTTCTCTTCCGAGTGCTTCTCCTTTGAGCAAAGCAACATGAATACGTACTTAAGCCGGCCGCCTATGGGTACACACACACACACACCCACACATGTTCACAGGGTGGCGATTCTGCAACTTAAAGCACCAAGGCGCTCGGAATGGCAATGGAATGCAACAGCACACTTCAATGAGACGTACAACATGCCTTGATTACTCTCAAACCGAAAGGCAAATACGGGAAACACGCACGTCTCAGCACACCGTCAAACGAATACATACCAAACACGCAGCCCTAGTTGCACGAGCTCACTGCCGGCCTGACTCCTCAGCTTCTCCTCCAAGTCCCGATGAAGCGCTCGGCTCTCCTGCAGGCAGTAGCATGATCATGGGTCGCGGGGCTCAGGCACTATGATTCATGGCCTATTTGGCCTAAGGGGGAGGTCGCCTTGCATGGCAGTGGGCACAAATCCCGTCTCATTCCCGCAAACTGATCAACACACGAGGCCCGCGTCCCATTTTTGGGGCGCAGCGACCAAGCGCCCTCAAGCCCCAGCCCAGCAAACCTATGAGCAAAGCACTGAGTCTGTGGGACCCACATGCAGCACATTGACAAACTCCCTGGCCTCCAGAAAAGCAGTCAGCCGGGAAACCTCTTCGGAAGTCGAGGATGTCTTGGCTCTTTCCTGCCGCAAGAAATGCAAACCCCACTGCTTCCCAACAGACCACGTCCACAAATCCGTTGAGCGTTTCCAACTCTCATGGTTTCTGCGCATGCAATTCCACTGCCTGCTCCAGCTCTTGGACTTTCTCTTCCGAGTGCTTCTCCTTTGAGCAAAGCAACATGAATACGTACTCCAGCCGGCCGCCTATAAGAACACACCCACACACACCCACACATGTT